ATCTAGCACGTTGTAATAAAATGATGGGGTACCGGAGTGAATATAGACGTAAGAACATATCGAGGAGTTTCAACGCGGTAAGACACAGTAAGTGGACACAGCTACCTGACTAGCATGTGCTACGGAGTAGGGCCAAGGGAATTGAGTGAGAATGATTCAAGTAACACGTCGACTACGGAATATTAGGTCACAATACTTGTAAAAGTATGTACCAGACTGAATTGTGTTCCACCAATCCAGCTTTAAAGCTGATTCCGTGTACTGATTAGAATGGGTTAAGAAAAGGGACATAGCTACCTGGTTAGCATGTGCCACGGAGGAGAACAAAGAGGATTGAGCGAAAACATTTCGAGAAACATTTTGTTTAAGGGATGTTAGGTCACAATACTTACGTTGAGTGACTTCATCTAGAAATACAAGCAGATTCGTAAGACATGATCTCCGTTGTACGACGCCATACTTTGCCGGTGTCAGCAGTCGATTGCTAGTCACAGCTTCACAGTCAAATCAGAATCATTATTTTTATTTCTGTTAAGGTTTAGGAATCCCGTTTGAGCATTTCCGCTCAAATGGTGTCGGTGATACTTGTACTGAAATGTCTTTCGTATAACCTAGCTTCTTCTTCTGAACTAACCTACCTCTGCCACCTGATCCTTTTCTGCCTGGTATCTTGCCTGCTGAATGTCTATAAACTTCAGCCAGATTCTCTCTCGCTCTTTTATTTTCACCCTTTTTCTTCGAGATTGTACGCTTTTGAGCCAATCGATAATCATTGCTAGGTCTATCTTATGGTCATTAGTCAAAACCGTTTAATTGGTCAAATTTATTAGTCCATTTTTGCTACGGTTCTTAAGTTCTAGTAGTGGATTGGGTGATAACATGCATGCTTTCTCTCCATCCTTCCCCCAGCGACCCAAAGTCCTCGTGTTTTTCATCGATGATAGAAGACCTGACGAGGCCTGAAACCTCTCTTCTCCGTCTTGACCCGATCACCCTCCCCAAACGGTCATTTCCCTCAGAATCTAGTCGTGCCGACAGGACTTTATATAGCCATTTTTTCAAACAAAAATCTTTCAGCACACACAAAAGTCCTTCAAACCAACTCCACTCATCCAGTTTTTGTCTTTTCACCTCCACACGATCAACGTTTGACATCTTTACCGCGTCCAGTATGCGCAGTTTTCATTTCTTTTCCCTGACCGAACTCAATTCTAAAGAAAACATGACATGGGTATACGTTTTCATTTGTTACATTTCCGCCTTTTCGTCTTCATAACTCCTTATCCACAGAACTAACCTGTCAGAAATGTGCTAGATTGCTCACCTTTTTTTATACATCTCCCAAATGAACAAATTGTCCACTGACCGTTTTCTGTTTATCGTTATTTCTCGCGCGCAAACATCGCGTTCCGTTGTTTTTTAGCCCCGCTAACTGTCGACCCAAATCTTCTGCCATTTATTGTACAAAATGATCGTGCACCCCAGCATGCCTAACAACTTTCGTTGTGAAATACACCATTGTTACTGTTATTGTTTTTGTTTTGTGTTTCAGTCCAGCCTTGTGCAATGCTACCACGGTAGCTGTACGCCAGTCCTGGGGTAGCGTGGCAGTTTCCACTGATTCGCTAAACATTACAGTCAGCGGCCCGGCTAGTAATTCGGCCAGCGGCTACACTATGGCTGGATGAGTTCCATCCGGACCTGCTGGCTTGTGCTTGTTGAGCATCTGGAGTTCCCGCTGTACATCTGTTTCACAGATGGCAAAGCGACAAACTATTACGGATAAGCTCATCTTGCTGAACCCAGGGTTATGATAGTTGGCTGGGGTCATACAAACGCTTTTGAAGAACTTAAGCAGGGTTTCCGCTTTATCGCGGGTAGCTATGCCACCATCGGACAAAGTTAGTGCTCCCGTGTGCATGCACTGGCTTGCACGTGCGCTGTGGTGCGGCGCATGTCAAACGATTGAAATTGCTGGGTCCCCGAATGTCAGCCTGCTCTTCATCTTTTCTCTTGTAGGTAAAAAATCCAACACACAACTGTGGAACTACCTGGCAGTCGTAGCACAGTGGGAACCCCTAACTCACAAGTGGAAGAACCTGGGCGTACACTGGCCGAAGCCAAATGTCCTGTCGCCTGAGGTGACCTTCCACCTTGTTCATTAGTAGAGAATGCGGCACCCAATCAAAGGCTTTGGGAAAATCTATGATTGCGCGTGAGATTGTTTTAGAATCCTTTCAACGAAAAGAATACAGATTTATATCAAGGACCCGGGAGTTTTGGGAAACAGCCTCGAACCCGTGGGTCACTTCAAGACGTCAAGACAGGATTCCATTTTGTTTGCAAATAGAAGGTGAAACCGATCAAACTCATAGGTCGAAGCACACCTGTGAGCACTTCACCAAAGGAATTGTGGACGACCAATTGGCCTGTGGTCACTACCAATTGGGTGCAACTGGACCTGACGTAAAAGGAATATTAACTCTATAAACTGTCAAAGAGAAATGAGAACATTGGAGCTCGATTGCGCAAGAAACTGGACTCTCGTTGACACTGAACTTGTGAGTTACCACGCGGTTTAAATTTTGGAACTGCTCTACTGCTTGCGATTTTATTTGAATTGAGTCGTCAAATAATTAAGGTTATTTCACAAATCTACCGGATCTTAGTATTCACTAAGGTCTACTCTTATTCGGAGAATTTTACTTTCCGACGGGTGTGTTTTTACCATAGTATTTTGATTGTTTTTGTGTGACCCGTTAGTGTGGTTTTATCTGTTTTGTAGTTGTTCACCGATAATGGAATTTTGTAGTGCTTACTCTTTCCCATTCGAGAAGAAATCATTCGTAAAATGGCTGACCAGTACAATCGTAACACATGCGGTAATGAGGCTTGTCAGAAAGTTGTGACTTCTGGCATCTAGTGCGATAGGTGCCAGGATTGGTATCATCAGCGGTGTTCGAACTTAACAAAGCAGGATTACCAACTTCCCACGAAGCACGAAATCCTAAAATGGACGTGCACACGCTGTGCAATGTTTACTGAAGAGTGCGCTCGCCTACTACAAGACTCTCTTCGGCCAAGGACACAAGATGCAAATTATCGGCAAGAGCATTTCTCCCAGAATGCGGCGCAGGGAAATGCCAGGTGTGAGCGGGCAACAGCTACGGGAAGCCCAGAGCATCCACCCCTGGGGAAACAGAAGAAGCCGACGAAAAAGCCGTCCGAGGCCAGCTGGGAGACGTTAAGGAAAGAAATAGATGATTTGAAGGCGCAAATGGTGAAGATGATTGCCATCAACGAAGGGGTCTTTGCAAGGAGCAGAAGACTGCTGTTGCATAATTGCGCAGAACCGGTGGTAAACGAGGCGAAGGCCATACAAGAAATAAACCACAGGCATGTAATGAATGCCTTTAGACTGGTAGGGCTGCCACCGGACACAAAATACAGCAAATGCCATAGGATTGGACTGTGGAAGTATCCCTAATCACTTCATCCACACCAACTGTTGATAGCGTTTAATGGAACTCATAGCAGAGGCATGCTTCTGGTAAGAGCAGCTATAGTGGAACTGAGCACTAGGGGGCAATTGAGAATCACACCGGATTCTCGCTTTAGTGTCAATACCACTCAATTCAAAAAGGCGCATAGAGCAGCCGACCCAAAACTGAAGGAACCGGTTATGCGACGCACCAAAAAACAAAACGGCCCCCTCAGTAGATCTACACCGAAGGCAAAACCTGCTGCCGGTAAAGATGGGTCGGT